TTGTTTTCTTGTATTTTATCGCTCTGCTGACCCTTGGGGTCCATTTTATTTTGGTATACCTTTTCTAGGTACGTTAGCCTGTGACCACGGAAATTGGCCGAGTCAAGTGATGGATTAGTACGGAGAGATTGAGACAGAAGGAGGTACTGGATAGAGAGACCGGGATGGTTTTTAATGTGAAGACAACAACAACAACAACAACACACCCCGAGACGCGCGTGCTCCGCAAACACATCTAGATAGTCTAATAAGGGAAGAACACCCGACAAACCGAGTTCCCCTAAATCTTCCGTCTACAACTTCCCAACATAACATACCCATAGATACACAAGATGGCTACCAAACTGTCTTGTTGAGCCTGTTACCCACAGGGGAGATATCGTTGTATGCTGTCTGGGAAACCGTAGACATCCAGGTAGCTTTCGCTCACACGCTATGGATTCATTGCCAATCTATTTAAGACATATTTCTATAAGAAGAGATGGATTACTTCGTAGTTGTGTGATATCAAGAAGAAAAATAAAACACAGAAAGGAAAGAACAGGTACCGCACCGGCCGTTCGAGAAAAGAGCCCTCGGAGACCGATCAAAATAAAACAGAAACAAAAATAAAGGAGGACGCTTGCCACACCCGCCTAAAGAAAGAATCAAAGGGTAACGTACCAGCACCAGGCACTACGCATCAGGGTGTGACGTGACGGTGTGACCCACACTTTGGCGTTTCCGGAATCTCCCCGCAACCCGGAAGTCGACTTCAGCCAATCAGAGGCAGCACCACGAGGGATCACGGTATTTAACATTTTGTTTTAACGCGGGACTGGCACTCTCTCCTTTTCTCAGCCCATCTTCTCCGCCCAACACCACACACCCCACCCCACACACCACCACCCAGCACGCGAACACACCCCTATCTCTCTCGGCCCACCTACAACCCCTGACAGGACAGAAGCAGCCAGTGCACACTCCTCCACTCTGTGTACCATGACTCGCTGCGCTGCCCCTTGCTGCAATGCTCCGAAGAAAAAGTCGAAGATTGCCATCATCGGCAGCGGCGCCTCTGGCCTGACCGTGATGAAGGAGCTCACGGCCCTCGGACACAAGGTATGGATGCCGGCGAGAGAAGTAGACGTGGGAGTAGGAACGCGGGGTTTCTCCATGCTGAAGGAGTCGTGCGTGGGCGACAGATGGAGAGAGCCGACGAGGAGAGAGCCATCGGTTGCGTGATCCAGCGTGATACCTCAGCTTGCCGGATCGTGATGAAAAAACACTTGTTCTCCCACAGGCCATCATGATGCGGATTGCCCGCACGCGTCTTCGAGTGCTCGCCTCTCGGGTTGCTCAATCACCGGCCGCGATGGACTCCTAACGGTGGTCGTCTATGCTGCGTGCTCTCTTTGACCCAGGTGGTTTGCTACGAGGTCCTGCCGGTTATCGGCGGAGTGTACGCGAAGTCTTACGACCACACTACCCTCACCACCAGCAGGTAAGAAGGCACCCGACGGAGACAAGGATCCGTTGACTCGCGAAGCGTTCCTCGGGCATCGTGTGCCGCTGTGGCACACCAAGGGTTGCGGCCAAGGCCACGCCTGGCCTGTGCATCAGCAATCACACTTCATTGGGTTCTGTCGGCTCCCTTTTTCGTTATGTAGTGTAGTGACCTTCGCCGCCGGCATTTTATAGTGATGGAGCAGCACCACACAGAGAGAGCACCGAACAGTTTACACGATTTTTTGCGGAGAATTAGCGTGGTTCGCTGATGACTTCTTCTCCTGGTGTTCTGCTCCTCACATGGCCCGAGCTCACGGAGTGACCACACGATCACGTTCTGTACACCCGCAATCGCTTGAAAATGAGTAGCCCGTGCCCGGTGCACTGCTGTCGTTAAACTTGTGTTGTTTGTTTCTCGTCAGAGGAACGCTGTCGACCGAGTAGTCTACACTACGTGTGATCACGTCACGGACTAATGTAGGTGTCCAATCATGAATGCATTGACCACCCTCTCTTATTGCAGTAGTGGTAAAGAGTATTCCTAACAGACAGTCTACATGCATGCAGTGGATTTCGCAGAGTATGCCGAATGCATTTGGTGCCGCGTACTGGGCGCGCAACACAGTACTGTTGTATGTAGCACAGGAGTGGAAAAGCTTGATCATGCGCACACACCATCACGTAACCGTGGCCTACTGCTGTACAGACCTACGGGATACCCCATGTATGCATAAATATTTCAACCCATTTTTGTGCTCATCCGGCATGGGGTGGTTGCGGTAATGTCAAAAACCAATCGAATCGGCGCACAAACACAACAGAGCCAGCTGAAGACTTCCTCCGACCATTCCCGTCGACATGGATTATTTGGTGTAGCGTCAGTCTTCCGCAGTTGGAATGGTTGAATTGAACATTTGCGTATTACCTGGAACGTTATTCGACCCCCGTGACGTGACTGCTGTACAAGTAGATTTGTTGGTGCTCCAAGCAGGGGGTGCTACTGCTGTCTGCTGTCCTGGAATCATCGATTGGACGGCGCAGCTGTTGCGTGATCTTATCTCTCGTGACGGCCGTTTTCGGCAAGCGATGTGCTCTTTGGTTGTTAAATCACCTCAACTAGCCTTGCTTACTCGATTGCTCCATCTACATGCATGCCGCAGGTTGTGCGCAAGATATTCCGCCCTCCCAGGACGAACTTATAAACTCGATTTGCTCTGCAACAACCATAGTGAGGGTGTGCTGTCAAAGGCGGCATTGTAACCGTCTTGTCGGGAGATTTTCCGAAACTTGTACGACCACGGCTGTGGCATCCTTTTCGTCATGGGGTTACAGAGGTTATTGACGATCGGTCCAGGGTATATTATTGTGTAAGGCACAGCAGTACCTCGAAATGACCTTCCAAGTACATCGTTTTACCATCTCGAAGCCAGGTACCTCTGCTGCACCCAGGAGAAAACTCGGATGTTACCCTGACGTTGACGCCTTTTTTTTCTTTATCCGTGCTTCTTACGGTCGTTTGTCGTTCACAGCTGTCTGACCGCGTACTCGGACTACAGCGACGGCCTCGAGCACCGCCCCAAGTTCTGGAGCGATACGGAGTACCTGGCCTACCTCGATGGGTGAGAGAGACTGCCCAAGGCCACAAGTATTGTTTGGCGTCTTGTTGTGACGCCTAAAAAAACGTTTCGGGACAAGCACGAAATATGCAGCTGCTGCGTGGGCGATCCGCAACTACATGCCTCTCGAGGTTTTCCGCCCCCAACCCCCTCCTCCCTCCCACTATCGTTTCCCCTGGTAATTTCCCCTGGTTGTAGCTCGATCGGCCGGCCGGCCGGCACCACAAGCGCGTCTTTCGTGCCCAGCTCCCACCATATGATCGTTTGCGCCTACCTTCCTTACCCTCCTTTTCTCGCCTCCTGTTCTCACAACGCACCCAACCCACCGAGCAGCTTCGCCCAGAAGTTCAACCTCCGCCAGTACATCAACTTCAGGACGAGGGTGGAGAAGCTGCAGCGCTGCCCCAAGAGCGGCACTTGGAAGGTTTCCTTCAAGAGGAACCGCTACTCGCCCCCCCACCGCGCGTACCCGGACGTCGAGCCGGAGGACCCCGACGTGAGTTTTTTTTTCGCAAGATGAGCAAAGGGAAAAAGAAGACAGGGAGAATGATGGTAGGGGACGGTAGCGAGGAGAGGGTACTGTTGTTCTACATGGTGTGGAGGAATCGTTGCAGATGATCCAGGAGGCGTGTTGCGGTGGCTCAAGAACTTACGAGGGAGGGTCAGAAAAACGCTCGAAGACAGCGAGCGAGAGGTTCTTGCGGTGACGCTAACGTGAAAAGCGATTCTCTGTTGTGTGTTGACACTATGCTCCAACCACCCCGTTGTTTTTTTTTTCTTTTCTTGCAGCAACCGATGGAAGCCGAGGACGGTTTCGACGGCGTCTGCATCTGCACCGGCACCAACACGTGGGCAAGCTTGCCTTGCTTCAAGGGCCAGGAGACGTTCGAGGGAGAGATCATGCACTCGGAGAAGTACCGCTCCGCGGAGGTGCGTCGCGGGCCCGTCGCTTTGTGATGTGTCCAATCCTGCCTCTCCTTTGCGTTGTGGTTATCTCCTTTCGTGCTGTCGAACTATTGAGTTGTGTCTTCGTTTGAAGGTGCGGCGCCCGGCATGTAAACCGGCAAATGGATGTCGAAATAGAGCCGACGAGGGCTGGCCCTCTGCACCATGTTTTCATATCTGAGCGTAAGAGAGGGCTTTTGTGTGGTACACGCCATGTTGCGCTGCACGACCATGTCGCGGTGGGGCGATGTCGTCGGGCGACGAAGGTTGTCGTTTACACGTACGGTACCTTCACTATTTGGTGGGATGTATAGCTCGAGTCAAGCAGGACAAGAGAACTATCCAGCGGGGAGTACATCACCCCAGTATCTCGACGTTCTGTCAAGTCCTATTTTCGTCCCCACACTCACTCCTTGCCCGCTGCCTCGTTGTTTTTACTCCGCTGCTGCTGTTGCCTTCATCGCACGATTGTTGTGCCGCTTGTCCGGACACGAAAACTCCAAAAAATAAACGGCCAAGCACAGGAGTTCGCCGGTAAGCGCGTTCTGGTGGTGGGGTCCGGGGAGTCGGGGTCGGACATCTGTAACGAGATCAGCAAGTTCGCCTCCTCGACGGGCCTGGCGATCCGCGGCAAGCACGGTCACCTCATCCCCCGCAAGCAGGCGGACGGGCGGGTGACGGACCTCAACACCAACCGGTGCCGCTACTCGAACCCCTACGTCCTGGGCGACTGGGTCGGCTACGTGAACCAGCTGGTGAGGTCTTGCTGGATGGTTGTGATCACCGGTGGTATGTTTGCCGTTGTTGATTGCAAGTGGGATGAGTCAGACAGGGAGGCTGGGGGATGCGCTGTCTCTGAGAACATTTTTGTATCACGTGTTTATCTCTTGTCACCATTTGTGTCGAGTTCATTCAGCTAGTTAACATTGCGGAATACGCCAAGAGCGGCGGGTTGAACAACCTTTTTTGTGGATGCAACAAGCCTCGTGACGCGACGTAAGGCCTGCCCCGCCGCCCTCTTCTAACATGCCGAACAGCTTTCGAATCTCTTCCCCCGCCGCGTTTCCTCCCTCCCTCAGCTGAACGTGTCCCCTCTACCGTTCGCTTCTTGAACCCGAAGCAAACGCGCCAATTATCCCAACACCCCCCCCCCCCCCCCCCCCCCCCCCCCCCCCCCCCCC